CACCACCAAGTCAAGGGTTAAGATCCCCTTACTGGTCATCTTCTTTAAAAAAAAGAAATTTTTTAAAAATCACAAAATAAATTGATTTTTAAATTTTTTTTTATTTTATGGACAGTAGCTGTGAAGTAACAAAAAGCAAAGCTAAGGAAGGGGAGAAAATAAAAAGACAAAAAAGGAAAGGTCAGATAATCTACCTATTATAACCAGCCTCTGATTATTTTAAAAGAGCATCTATACTGCTTGGCTAAATTAGGAAATTTTTACTGTTGGGTAACAGTGGGAAACTGAATATGAATAATTATCAGAGAGGTAAATACTTGAGCCATTCATTAGCTCTGGTAAAAGTTCAGTATTCTGCCCAAAAGTCCTACAGGACTCTTAGCCAGCTCAATCTTGAAAAAAAATGTGATAGAAGCTCTTCTGTTGCTTTGCCTGATTCAAACTAGCATATACAGCCCTCACTTTTCTATCTCTTTTATTTCTTGCCAATTTCATCAATAAAAATATTAATTTTTGCTATTGTAGATGTCAAAAAAGCTAAATAAAAATACTATTAATGTAATGCAAACTACAGAAATTACTGCAGAGATAAACTATACATAGGTAAAGCAACTAGACAGTATCAGGTAATCATAAACTGAGTTAAGTGTACTGAAAATGAATACTAAGACAATTCAAAGGTCTTTGACCCAGCAGTTTTTCTCCTGGGACTATCCCATAGAAATAAAAGCACCAGTACATAGGACATAAAAGTACCAGGTTTTAAGTGTAAAGATGTTTCATTGTAGTAGCAATAAGCTGAAAACAATATGACTGCCTACCAGTAAGGAAATGACTCAATAAATTAGGGTACATCTACCCCCAAAAAATGTTATGGAGACATCAAGCAGAATGAATTGAAGCTATATCAGTTGAATTGGAGGCAGGGATTTCCATGAGTATTGTTGTGTTAGACAAGCAAGATACAGAAGAGTGTTTAGTGTACCATTTTTGTATAATAGTAGTGTACCATTTTTGTATAATAGTAGTGATCAAAAAAGCCCTAAATGCATGTGTATGTGTGTATGGTTGTATGAATGTTGAGAAAAATCAGAAAGAATACATACTAGATGGATTACAAACAGAGGAGGAGGCTGATGTGGGCAGAAGGAGGGAACAGAAGTGAGGAGCCAAACAATGAAGGAAAAGGGGGGGGAAATATTTTCTGAAAGAATTCAGTAAGATGTGATTTCATTTATATACAACTATAGGATGTATATATGCAAGGAAATGAAATAGTTACCTTTTTAAAAAATAATTCAAAAGGATAAATCCACATTATCTGAGCTAATAATGAAAGGCTTTTGATGGCTGGCTGGTTAGCTCACTCAGTAGAGCATGGTGCTGATAACACCAAGGTCAAAGGTTCAATCCCCATACCGGCCAGCTGCCAAAAAAAAGAAAAAGCCTTTTGAATGAGAAGAGTCTAAAAACAAGCATGTGTTAAGCTAACATCTTGGGGTGGAATCAGTATGGAGGGAGGAGAAAGAAAAAGGCACATTGTAAGCAAGGTAATAGGGAAAGAATAGGTTGGATTGATGTAAGCCCTAAGAAGGAAGGAATTGCAGAATAATCGGTAGAATAAGGAAAAAAGTTGGCCAAGTCACCAAAAATCATCTGTTGTGTGATTTCATTATGAAATCTCTTCAATAGGTTAATCCATAGAGACAGAAAATAGATTAGTGGTTGCCAAGGTCTCGGGGGAAGATTGGGAGAAAATGGGGAGTAACTGCTCATGAACATGGGGTTTCTTTTTTTTTTTTAAAGATGACCGGTAAGGGCCGGCCCGTGGCTCACTCGGGAGAGTGCGGTGCTGATAACACCAAGGCCGCGGGTTCGGATCCTATATAGGGATGGCCGGTTGGCTCACTGGTTGAGCGTGGTGCTGACAACACCAAGCCAAGGGTTAAGATCCCCTTATCGGTCATCTTTTAAAAAAAAAAAAAAAAGAGAGAGAGAAATAGACAAGTCATTTATTTATTTATCTTTTTAAAAGATGACCGGTAAGGGGATCTCAACCCCTGACTTGGTGTTGTCAGCATACACTCTCCCAAGTGAGCTGACCGGCCATCCCTATATAGGGATCCGAACCCGTGGCCTTAAAAAAA